GAGGATATATCTAGGAATTGGAATCATTAAAAAAAAACAGATCAAGGTGTAGACTTTACATTTGTCAGCCTTATAACAGAACATTTTGGTGGTGAAGGCAATACCAATTTTTTAAATTGTCTACTTGAATAGATAAGACCTAGGCTGACCCATATATTTATAAACTGGCTTCAGCTGTAAAAGATTTCCTTATCATACAATAAGAAAAGTTTTAAAGGACAATGTTGTGAACACTATTGCAATTTTTTTAAAAACTTCTACCACTGATCAAGTTATTGTTTCTCAAAGTCTATCAATGAAATTGTTTGAAACTTAAAAGGTCAAGAACAGCATGGACTTCCAATTTCACATTTTAAGAATATGCCTTTCATAAGCTTGAGTGCTAATCATAAGAATGTAAATTAGTCAGCTTCAGTTCACATTGATTATCTGAGTTGTAGCAAGACAAGGTATATTCTGCATTAAACTTCAGTGAAACCATCCAGTTTTAAGATCAATGATTAAAAAAATTAAAGAATTGATTGTAATAACTGGATTAGATTGACATGCAGCAGGTACATTATTCACCAGTGTACTAAGCCTGATGTATATAGAAGGTACAGATAAGTCATGCTGCAGGGTATATCAACAGAGATCAGTGTTCAGGTACACTGTCCACCAGTGTACTGTTAAACCTGATGTATATAGAAGGTACAGATAAGTCGTGCTGCAGGGTATATCAACAGAGATCACTGTCCAGCAGTGTACTAAGCCTGATGTATATAGAAGGTACAGGTAAGTCGTGCTGCAGGGTATATCAACAGAGATCAGTGTTCAGGTACACTGTCCACCAGTGTACTGTTAAACCTGATGTACATAGAAGGTACAGATAAGTCGTGCTGCAGGGTATATCAACAGAGATCAGTGTCCACCAGTGTACTAAACCTGATGTATATAGAAGGTACAGATAAGTCGTGCTGCAGGGTATATCAACAGAGATCAGTGTTCAGGTACACTGTCCACCAGTGTACTGTTAAACCTGATGTATATAGAAGGTACAGATAAGTGATGCTGCAGGGTATATCAACAGAGATCAGTGTTTGTGTACACTGTCCACCAGTGTACTGTTAAACCTGATGTATATAGAAGGTACAGATAAGTCGTGCTGCAGGGTATATCAACAGAGATCACTGTCCACCAGTGTACTAAGCCTGATGTATATAGAAGGTACAGATAAGTCGTGCTGTAGGGTATATCAACAGAGATCAGTGTTCAGGTAAATTGTCCACTAGTGTACTGTTAAGCCTGATGTATATAGAAGGTACAGATAAGTCGTGCTGCAGGGTATATCAACAGAGATCAGTGTTCAGGTACACTGTCCACCAGTGTACTGTTAAACCTGATGTATATAGAAGGTACAGGTAAGTCGTGCTGCAGGGTATATCAACAGAGATCACTGTCCACCAGTGTACTAAGCCTGATGTATATGGAAGGTACAGATAAGTCGTGCTGTAGGGTATATCAACAGAGATCAGTGTTCAGGTAAATTGTCCACCAGTGTACTGTTAAGCCTGATGTATATAGAAGGTACAGATAAGTCGTGCTGCAGGGTATATCAACAGAGATCACTGTCCACCAGTGTACTAAGCCTGATGTATATAGAAGGTACAGATAAGTCGTGCTGCAGGGCATATCAACAGAGATCAGTGTCCACCAGTGTACTGTTAAACCTGATGTATATAGAAGGTACAGATAAGTCGTGCTGCAGGGTATATCCACAGAGGTTGCTGTCCACAAGATACAGACATTCCATTACACTGTCTTTTGCATACATAAAACTTCTCTTACCATATCATTTGTGCTTCATCAGAATTAAATGATCACCAGCAGTTTGTTTGTGACTGAATCACCCATATTGTATCATAGGATGGGGATGAAAATAATAGATGCTAGGGATGTTTTCTTACCAGTTTTCTTTCTGAACCTAACATATAAACAAAACCTCACCCATTTTATCTAGCATTCTAGCAGCTTCCTTTATTGAAGGATTATTACCAAACTTTACACACTTATAAAAGATCATTATATCCTGGTCAGGTGTGAGTTTCAAGGTTGTAGGGCCAGGATCACCATTAATAGTTTCAGGAAAACTCTCTCGGCAATGTAGTAGCTTCATTTCTTATCATTAAACTTGACACACTTACATAAAGGACTATAGTACCATGGACAAGTTGAGATTCAGCTTTGTAGGATTAGGATCAAGGTCACTGTTACTACTTTTAATAAATCACTGTCAGCACTTGCAGCTTCATAGAGAGGTTTCAATCCAACATGACACACTGATAAGGGACTGTAATAACTCAGACAATATTTTGAGTTTTAAGTCAAGTCCAGCATTAATATTTACAGAAAATCCTGTTAGAAGTACAGTGGCTTCATTCCGGGAGATCAGGTTCAGAGTTGTAAGGTCAAGGTCACCATTACTATTTTTGGAAAATCCTTGTAAGCAAGTGCAGCACCTTCATTTCATATAGGATTATCATTAAACTTGACACACTTATAAAGGACTATAATACCATGAGCAAGATTGAGTTTCAACATTGTAAAGTCAAGTCAACATAACTATTTTTAGAAAATCTCTCAACAACAATCTTTTTCAGTGTAGAAGCTTCATTTCTTTAGGAATTTGGATCAAAACTCACTCACTTGGCTATCTTCTTTATAGTGCCTAAGTTAAGTTGTAACTGTGACAGTATCTCGTAATGCAGTGCATTATTTCACTATGATCAAGTGAAACTGATGTATTAGTTTCAACTGTGTGAAACTAAATATTGTTTTCACTGTCAGTTGCTTACTTGGTATTATATTTAATAACTTTAGGATCAAATTTTTGCTCTGTTTACCAACAATGGTCCTTCTAAGCTTTTATGGTCTGTTATCTTCCAAATAATCATGGTAAACAATTGGACTGTGTTAAGGAAAAGACATATTTGTTGGAGGGCATGTTACAGGGTTATACCCTCTTAGTTCTAACACTGGTTACCATGGTTATCACAACTGGGTCCTGTCAGTGGAATGTATAAACTTCAAGGCAGCAAGAGTTGTTTTACTCTTTTTAACTCATAACAATATTGAATTCAGTCCAGATTTATCCTTCACTGAACAATTATTGTACAAACTGGCCAAATAATGTCCCCCAGTGGACATCTTGCTTGTACTTCTGAGGTTATATAATGATATCTTAGATCACAGAAGAGGAAAGAACAGAAAGTGATTCAACATAACAGGGAAGTTCATGGCCTATGCTTCTTGGCTATAACATCATTTCTCTTTCAAATTTAAATTGAAATCTCTACAACTTTTGAAAAAAGTCTTCATTGTTTTTCACTGTCAATGTATTACATTAAGATATATCACCCTTCTTTGGAGGTGGAGGGGGGGGGCGGCGGTTGATGTTCAAGGTTTCTAGAGCTAGAGCTTAAAGATGCTGGAAGTTTGACATAATTTAATCATACGATGAGTCTGTATGCATCAAATCCCCAGCACTCCATCCAACCAAACATTGATGTTTTCATTTCAGGCAATAAGAATGTTCCTGAGGTCAGATAACTACAAAGTCACACCTTGATTAAGGTCATTTTTGGGGTCACATGGACAAGCAGTATATATACATACATCTAACTACAATGAAGATTAAGATCGAAGGACACACCAATTTATAATAACACCAACTTTCCTGTATTTTCCACCTGTTTTTTAGTCAGATATTCTGTATAAACATTTGAGAACACAACTTGTTGTTCCTCTATGTAAATTCGTCCAAGCCTTCTGTTACTGCTCTTGATTTACCCCTGTAGACTTGTGTACTTGGGTGTCATTATATCTACTGGTGAGGTGAAAAAATCCTCTGTGTTATAATGTCTTACATAAAAAGTCTTGTGAGAGACAAGTTTTGTCATGTAAATCAATAATAGTGGATAGAGGCAGCTGGGAATCAGTCACTGACCTTCAGTGGCTGACCAGAGCCCACTACCGCTGCTGCAGCTGGATAATACCCTGTAACAAATACCTCATCACATATTGTACACCTAATGGCAAATAGTAATCTTTTACTTGCGGAATGTTTATGAAATCTTCCCGACACAAAATGTCGTCTTCTGTTATGTATTGCTCAAATATTTACGATTTTCTGGGAACATTTACCGCTATTTATTGCTACAAAATAGCTCAAAAAGAGGTTCTGCTAGGAATAACTCCAAAAATCTCTTTATTTTTTCAATTTGAATATTGCCTTGATAATATGGCTGTTGAATATTTCTTGGTTGTGTTACTGAAATACATTACTTCTTGGTGCTGCTACAAATGGTTATGTACTTTCTAGTGTTATCTTTGGGTTATTTTCTGATGATGTTACTTGGGGTTTTTTGTGTTGTTACTATGGGTTACTAGTTGGTAGGTCCTGTTGCTCTTGGCTATCTTTAAGTGATGTTGCTCTAAGGTATTTGCTGATGTTGTTACTAGTGGCTACTCCCTGATATTGTTGCTATAAGTTTAGACTTAATAGCTCACTATCATTAAATGGTGGTCTTTTCAAATTGCCCTTCACCCATGGCCTGTGATCTGTCCATCACTTTGTCCCTCGAAAATTCTTATCACATCTTCCTGAGAATATCTTCATGGATCATTCCCAAATTTCACATGAAGATATCCCTGGGTCTCTTAAACATTTTTCAGGATCAATTTTGGGACTTATTAAAAAAAGCAAGTTGGCTAACAAGCTATTGAGTTTCTAGCCTCTTGGTTAGAAGGGGATCTAGATTTGATAAATAGAGTGTAACATGAAATGGATGTGACCTGAAGATACTTCAGTAGCTGACATTTCACATTTCATTGTAAAATATAGTAGAATTGATTACTGTTATATAATTGTATGTCTATATTAATTTCCTATTCATTTTTGTTGTATTTGTAGCATATCTTGAACCCATCTACCTACCTAGAGTAACAGTTGACCTCTGACCTCCAGAGGAGAGGAGGTGCTGACCTTTGGAAATCTTTCCGGCAGCATTTAGTATGTACGAGATGATAACGGAAACTGAGAAAATGAACTCGGACTTGAACGGAACCAACGTGAAGACAGAAAACATGGACATCAAGGAAGAGGTGAAGGAAGAGCCAAAGAACCAACCAGCATCTGTAAATGAGCCAAATAATCACCCTAACAACCACTCAGGGCCCCCTAGCAACAAATTAACTAATGGAGAAACAGGTAATTTCATCATAAACCAAAAGTTACCACCAAATGTCCCAAGTGTTTAAACACTGGGTTAGGCCATTATGTTACTGTTGGAACATTGTTAGCTCTTGTCCTAACCTTAAAGGGATATTCAGCACAAGTTTCTAGCTGTTTTGTATCTTTTAAGAACTTTCTAATGACTTCTAAAACTATTGTCAGTATCAAAATTTCTTTCATAAGGTCAGTTTGGACCAGCAAAATTGGTGGAAGTACAATATACAATTAGACAGTCCTAATGTAGCACACTGGGAAAACAGGAGCTCAATCACTGACTGAATCATAGATATAATGCTGATTGATCACTTAGACTTTCTGTTGGGAATTCCACTGCTTTGTTTGGTTTATTTCGTGCCAATTAAAAAAAAATTCTGCTGTTTGACTGGAAAGAAGCACACCTATTGTGGCTCAATCATGGTCAAGTTAATGTTTGTAAATCAATCTACCTAGATCTCTATAGATTTCTTTAAGAAAAGAGATATCTTAGTTTTGTTATGTGGTGAATTGAGGCATACAATTTATATAAGAACTTACTCAGATCTTCTTGTGAGTTTTTTATTATAAAGAAAATACATCTGTGAATTATCTGTCTATCCATTAAAAACTTTCTTTGATCAATTTCTTCATTCTTTTTGAAATCACTCAATTTGACTAAAAATATCCTCGAGTACTAAAAGTTGATGAGTGCAAGGATTTGTATATTATTTAACAGTTACATTACTAAGGCTGTTTTCTCTGTTACAGATAACAATAACCAGTTACAAGACAACCACACGAAGAAAACCTCAGACCTAACAGGTACAATGCCAATAACCTCTTTAACCTTTCTATACTCAACATTCCATCATTGTATGTTTTCTGCTTACTTACTCTTTAACACATGAAGACATTGAACTGAAATTTGACACTTAGTTCTATTATGATGAGAGATCAAGTTGGATATTTTGTTTCACCAACTTGCAAATTTTTCAAAAGTTATGGCCCTTTGACTTAAAAAATTCAGGAAATTGTCAATTTCTGTTCGTGAGGAGATGAGGATTTTAAAGTTAAATGATATGTAGATTGTTTGCACAATCTTTGCAAAATCAGCTTATGGTCTGACATTGTGAATACTGTTAGTAAGTCTTTCATTTTAACTTATTTTAAATCTGGTGTCCAAATGGAATTAGTTATGTCTGCTTGATAAGTGTGCCCCTATGCATGTTTACAATCTCATTATCATATTATCATATTAATTGATAGAAATAACTTCATTATTTGTTTTCTAAGTTGTTTGTCACAGTTACAGGTTACTAAATGTAAAATCTTCAGAACTAGATACTTCTGCTTCATACTTTCATATGTGACAAGTTTAACAAGTTATAGTTAATCATTTATACACAATGGGCAGTGTCATTTTTACAAGTGTAAGGACATTCAAAATTAATTCCCTGTGTTTGATTGGCTGATTGCCTCACAAGTGCCTAATTACATTGAGTCTGGTATTTACTTTGAACTTCACAAGGCTGTGTTATTTCGTAGAAATGAAAATCTTAACTTTATTTTGCTAATACCAAATTTGGTTTTGTCTCTTAGTTATTACTGACCTGTCTGTTCATTTGTCAAGAAAAAAGAAAAAGAAATATAGATAGTCTGAAATGCTGTGCTGTTTTATATTAGTTGAAGGTTGTAATTAGCTTTAAGATAGAAAAAAGAAAACATTTATGTAGGTATTTTAATTCACCTTTATACACTCTAGTCTGATTTCTGAGCTTGTAGCAAAAATGTTGCAAACCAGACATTTCATTCGTATTTTATTGGCTAGACAAGAGTTTAAATTCAGTGTTATACAGATAACTGCTTCAGAGCCAAGTCTTGGGACCAAGATTATATTGTCATCCATGTCAAAGCAGATAGACATGTCTGATGTAGGAAGGAAATAAAATGTAATGTGATACTATATCAATATAGAATTGGTTACCTGCCGACATCCATCAGAAGCTGTCTCCACACCTGCCACAGCGGTAAACTTGTGGAAGAACTTTCAAGACTAGAAGTATGAAAATAACAACAGCTAGATATAGCTTACTTTCATCTCATAAGGTCTTATTGTAAAACTTATCTAGAGAATATCTTTGTATTTTACTTGGTTTGTAGACTTAAAAAACTATGAGGTCTCTAGATTTGTCCTTGGTCCATGTGAGTGTTATGGAAACACTTCCTCTGTTAGCTCCTCCTGGTAAAATTGTACCAATTTTTCTCCATGTACAATTGATTGTGGTGCTGATGGTGAGATATGACATTGATTTTGTCCTGCTGAACAGAGTCTGACTTGCCTTTATCAAATACTGAAAAGCAAAATCCAGTTTGATACCCTTAGATGAAAAGACATAACAAAAGACAAGATTTTTTTTTTCCGCTAATATGTCTATTCATTTGGGATATTTCTATCTGTCCTTCTGTCTGCACATCTGTCTGATTAAAGCCCCATATCAACTATGTTAAAACACTCCTGATATTATCTGTATGACATCCAGAAGCCAGATATAGGAGACAAGTCAAGGTCAGCTAAGCTGTCAATGTCTTCTCCTCAAGTTTTGTTGAGACGTTAATTACGACATAATGATGACTAAATTAACTCATAAACTATCATTTAGGACCTCATAGTTCAACTTAAGTGACTTGAAATTCATATTTTGTGCCACAGACATATTTAAGTAGGATTTAACTCGCAGTACATCATTAATGTAAAAGATTTTCGCAACAAATCATTCGTTAAGAACTAAGATAACGTCCATGTAATGTTTAACTGAAGCTAACCTGCCCAAAAGTGAGACAGCAGGTATGAAATAATAAAAGAATAATAATAATAAAAAAAATACACAGTTGGGCTTATTGGTATTTCTGTAGAATGTAGAGAAAAAATACACAGTTGGGCTTATTGGTATTTCTGTAGAATGTAGAGAAAAAATACACAGTTGGGCTTATTGGTATTTCTGTAGAACGTAGATAAAAAATACACAGTTGGGTTTATTACCGAGCAATGAAACTGCACTTGTTGGTATTTCTGTAGAACAGAGAGAGAAAAAGACATGGATGGGCTTATTACCGGGCAATGGAACTGCATTGTTGATATTTCTGTAGAACAGAGAGAAAAGACATGGATGGGCTTATTACAGGGCAATGAAACTGCATTATTGGTATTTCTGTAGAACAGAGAGAAAAGACATTGATGGGCTTATTACCGGGCAATGAAACTGCATTGTTGGTATTTCTGTAGAAAGTAGACAAAGAAGACATGGATGGGCTTATTACAGGGCAATGAAACTGCATTGTTGATATTTCTGTATAATGTAGAGAAAAGACATAGTTGGGCTTATTACAGGGCAGTGAAACTGCATTGTTGATATTTCTGTAGAAAGTAGACAAAGAAGACATGGATGGGCTTATTACAGGGCAATGAAACTGCATTGTTGATATTTCTGTATAATGTAGAGAAAAGACATAGTTGGGCTTATTACAGGGCAGTGAAACTGCATTGTTGATATTTCTGTAGAACGGAGAGAAAAAGACATGGATGGTCTTATTACAGGGCAATGAAACTGCATTATTGGTATTTCTGTAGAACGTAGACAAAGAAGACATGGATGGGCTTATTACAGGGCAATGAAACTGCATTTGTTGGTATTTCTGTAGAACGTAGAGAAAAGACATGGTTGGGCTTATTACCGGGCAATGAAACTGCACTTGTTGATATTTCTTTAGAATGTAGACAAAGAAGACATGGATGGGCTTATTACAGGGCAATGAAACTGAATTGTTGATATTTCTGTATAATGTAGAGAAAAGACATAGTTGGGCTTAATACAGGGTAGTGAAACTGCATTGTTGATTTTTCTGTAGAACGGAGAGAAAAAAGACATGGATGGGCTTATTACAGGGCAATGAAACTGCATTGTTGGTATTTCTGTAGAACAGAGAGAAAAGACATGAATGGGCTCATAACAGGACAATGAAACTGCTTTCATTGGAACTTCTATTAGTAAAGACATCGGACAGCATATTACAGGGCAATGAAATTTTAAATTTTGTCAATACTTATGTAGAACTGATAAAAGAATGGTCAGGCTTATTGCCAGACCTGGGCCTATTGCCAGGTTGATATGGTATTTGGGGAAGAATTTCATGTACAAATCCTTGGCTTATTGTCCATGTAGGTGGTGGGTTATAGAATCAGTTTGATGGTAGGATTTTATTGTATCTTTACTTTATTAGGTTTGTATGATTTGCAATCTGTCACTTATTGTACAATGAATTCATGAAAACCTTTCTGCAAATGGTTTCTCCTGTTTATTTGTCATGGTTCACTGTATTTCACTGTAACGGCTATTTGACCTGTAGAGGTAACGTTTTTTAATTATATGAACAGAAAATATTGAGGAATTAAATGAGAGTTGTAATTCATTTCTACTGTAAAATATTTTCATGGGCCACAACTGTTCTGTTTAATGATTTGTTGGCACCAGAATTCTTGCATTTTAGCACAAAATTGACTGGTACTAAAACGTGTCTTTTTAACTGTTTATGATTTTGTAAAAGTGAATTTGTCAATTAAGAGTATCCTTAAAATAAAAATCCATGAAATTAACAGATTTTACAGTTGATGTAAATGAACCTTAAGCTGTAATTGTCCTTTGACTGTTAAGTTCATTAGCGCAGACTGCTAATTTTCATAGTCTGCTATGTATTATTAAGAACGAAAGAACAGTGTCATTAATTGAATATATTTAGACATTATCCTATACATGGAGTTATATATAGTTTATGGTTGGATGTCCTAGTCTGAACAGACCTGTATAAAACTTCTGTAACTAATTACTAGGTTAGTTAATTCACTAGAGCGATGTACCATTAATCACTTATGTAAACCATGGTTGATTCTATCTCAGCATACTGATGCTGTGCAGTAATAAATTCATCTCAAGACACATACCGCCTGATCAGGTACAGAGTGGGACTGGTAAATCCAACCGTTGGGTGCAGATGAGCTAGAGTAGTCCATACCCTGAATAATATGATTGTGTAGGCATGTAACAGCTCTGTTAGTATAGATACATGGAGGGAGGTAGTGATGGAATACAAAACCACTGTGGAGATGAGACCGTCCTTGTCATCATTGGATATCTATATTGTGACCAAACTGTTTTTGGTGATTCATGATTTCAACAAAACTTGACATATCAGTTACCATGGATTCAGGTTATTGGATTGTTATGGTCTTGTCTGTTTTGACGTAATTCTAGACAGAGTTATATTTGCTTTTTCAATACTTTTGCTTCAGGATTCTGATCGTGTTTCTTATGTTTTACAAAATTTTATAAATCAGGCCTTCAGTGGTTCCTAGAATTGAACTAATCCTAGTTTACTCCATCTCAACCAGTTCTCTATCCACTAATCCCTTCTCCACCTCATTTTCTCTCCACCAATCCTCTATCCACTAATCCCTTCTCCACCTTATTCTCTTTCCACCAGTTCTCTATTCACTAATCCCTTCTCCACCTCATTTTCTCTCCACCAATCCTCTATCCACTAATCCCATCTCTACCTCATTCTCTCTCCACCAATCCTCTATCCACAAATCCCCTCTCCACCTCATTTTCTCTCCACCAATCCTCTATCCACTAATCCCTTCTCCACCTCATTTTCTCTCCACCAATCCTCTATCCACTAATCCCTTCTCCACCTCATTTTCTCTCCACCAATCCTCTATCCACAAATCCCTTCTCCACCTCATTTTCTCTCCACCAATCCTCTATCCTCAAATTCCATCTCCACCTCATTCTCTCTCCACCAATCCTCTATCCACTAATCCCTTCTCCACCTCATTCTCTTTCCAGCAATCTGGTATTAATCCTGTCCATTAATCTATTAATTCTGGTCATTAATTCTCCCTCTCCCCTATAAATTCTGTCCAGTATTCCTTTACATTCCTGTATTAATTCTGTCCAGTATTTCTCCATTAATTCTCTCCATAAATCCTCCACTATCCTGTATTATTTCTGTCCGGTATTCTTCCACATCTTCTAGCAATTTTTTGTACAGATTATTTTGTGAAATTGGGTACAGAAAGAGTGGATATTTTGATAAATTAATCAGGCCAACCAGTACAATGATGATTATTTTCAGTCTTTACTGTCTTTTCAGCAGTGAAAGAGGAGACAAATGGTGAAGCAACAGCAAGTGAAGCTCATTCAAAGCCACTCCCACCCACAAAGGGTCAGTCTCAGCAGTCAGTCCCACCCAAAACTTCTCAACCCCCTACAAATCCTCAGATGCCCCAGCAGCAGCCCCCGGCATCTCAGCCTGTGAACTCTAATGTGCCACCAATGCCTCCACAGTCCCAGCATTCTGGCCAGCCAGTAGGGATGGGGGATAACCCTTTTATTCAGCATCAGAGTCAAATCTTTGTGTTTTCAACACAACTAGCCAACGAAGGTGCAGACCATGTGATATCAGGACAGTACAAGGACCTGCTGTCCTTCCATATGGACTATCCTGCCACCAAGAAGTTTCTTCAGGTACAGTTTGTATTCTGGATACTGTAATAGAACTCGCATCTAGTACAAAGCAATGTTCAATCAAGTGAAAGAAAAATTTACATTTTACCTCAAAAAATTTTTATTTCAGCTAGTTTAATACATCATGTCAAAATGCGTGAAAATGTGTGTTTGAGAAATTTTTCTAATAAGTTAATGCTTGTACAGATTGTCTAATATAGAACAGTTTATAATCCTGTTATTCATTTTAACTTTCAGAAACATTCATTAAAAATATCTCCCTTCAACCGGTCTGGTGTGATGCCAGGGATGGGTCCTCGACATCGAGACATGACCCCCATTAGACGATATGGCAATGTGATGCGCCCTGGCCCACCTCATCCAACTGGCAGTGTCCAGCAGTGGGTGGACCAACAGAATGCCCACTTACAGGAGCAGGGTTATAACTTTGTACCTGGCATGAATCCAAGGGCAGGCAACTTTCCTCCATCTGGAAATCCTGGCAATCCTGGAATGATGGGACCATGGCCACAGGGTGGTGGACCTCCACAGTCATCATCTCCAATGAATTATCCTGTGATGCCAGATGGTATGCCCTTTGACCCAGAAATGATGGCTATGATGGGAAATCCACACCTTAACAATCCAAATCTGTTGCAGCAGAAAGTACCGAATGAAAACTTAACACCTGAACAATTAAAACGAAGAGAGGAGCATTTAACAAGTTTACGTAAAATACAGATGATGTTATTCCCTGAACAGCAAAGACAGCAACAGTTTGGTGGACCCATGCCAAATTCAGGTCCAGGAGGTGAAATGATGCCCGAAGAAATGCATCAGCAGATGATGCAACAACAGCAGGGCATGATGTCATCACCACACGGTCCCATGATGACGTCACAAGAACAGATGATGATGGGATCACAAAACAATGGTGGAATGACCAGCTCACAACAACAGTTCATGATGTCCCAGGGTGGCCCAGGTCAGTTTGGGGGTCAGGGCCCTGGTCCAGGGTCTGGGCCAGGGGGGTCAGGTCCAGGCTCAGGTCCTGGAGGACCAGGGCCCCCAGGGCATCCTGGCTTCGGTCCACACAACATGCAGAACATGACACCCGCTCAACGTGAATGGTTAAGACTGCAACAAGAATATTACATGGAAAAACGACGACACCAACAGCAACAAATTGCTCAAAGAATGGGAGGTCAGCCTCCCAACATGGAGATGCCAGGGGCTAGTCCAGGCGCACCACCCTCCTACTACAGCACTATGGCTCAAAAGAGAGGAGGGAGTGGTGGAATGTCTACCTCACCAAATACAAATGGCCCTATAGGATCTCCACCACTCATGCCCCCTCATGGCATGGACATGCCTGACCATATGGGCCTGTTTCCACCATCTGCTGCTCAACGAAGGTCATCCCTTTCCTCGATGGAACAACAGTCACAGATGGGGATGATGAGCCCTATTATGAGTCCAAGTATGCCCCCAGGGCCAGGTATGAACTTTGATAAGGCAATGATGCCACATGGCCCTGGTGGACCTGGGGGGCCAGCTGGTGTGGAAGGGGGCAGTGGGGCTCCACCTCACATGCACCCAGGTCAGCCAGGTGGAGGACCAATACAAAACAAGAAAAGCATGCAGGGTGGACCAAGGGCAGGTCACCCTGAACAGTTCATGCAACGTGCTGGAAACCCTGAACATTTTGTGCAAAGGGCTGGACACCCAGAACAATTCATGCAACGTGCTGGAAACCCTGAACAATTTGTGCAAAGGGCTGGCAACCCTGAACAGTTTCATCCTGAAATCGCGGCTCGTTCTCCTTCACGAACTTTAAGTGGCTCAAGCAAGCCACCCCCTAGCTATGCACAGGCACAAAAAAGAAAGCGTGATGACATGGAAGAATTGTACAAAAATCTTCAACCTACACCTTCTCCTCAGCAAATTAATTACCTCAATCAATTTGAAGGACAAGAATTGACTATAACCAAACATCTTAATGCAGCATATCGTGAACCTAATAATCCCTCAGACCAGTCCCATCCGAACGCCCCATTTCCCTCAAATCAGGTCGCTCATTCACCCATGCATGGTCCAAGCTCCAACAAGGGGCCCATGTCCAATTCCAGCCAGAACTCCAGTGGGGGCCCATTATCCAGTCCAGGGCCAGTCAATGGTCCCGGACCTAGCCCCAATATGTCCGGTGCAAACATGAGACTTTCACATTTTGATCCACCATCGAATAACAACAGTGTGTCAAGTGCACCAGCAACACCCACATCTAAGGCATCATCAATGTCCAACATCACATCTGCTAGTCTGGCCAACCTGGCTAAGGGAGTAGAACATTTGTCAAACCAAATGCAGCAAAATATGATGCAAGGAGGACCTTTTCACAGTATTCAAATGCAGGGTCAACAGGTGGGATGTAGTGCGTCATCACAGTCCACAAGTAATCAGCCCTCTGTGTCCACCACTTCAGAGATGAGCTCCCAGACACAGACCACTCCTAGTGTCAATAATACTTATGTGAATGCCACCATGTCTATACAACAATTAAATATTCAGAGTGTGGGGCCACATTCTGGACCTAACTATAATCCAAACATGCAAGTGCAGCAAATGAATATGGAACAACAACAAATGCAGGGTATGCCTGGCCCACCCAATGGACCAGGCCCTAATTCAAGTGGTATGTCTAATAGTATGCCAAGTGGGAATCCTGGTGGCATGCCCACTGGTAATCCTGCTGGCATGCCCACTGGCAATCCTGGTGGCATACCCACTGGCAATCCAAGTGGCATGCCCAGTGGAAACCCGGGTGGTATGCCTAGTGGAAACCATCCAGGCATGCCCAGTGGTAACCATGGTAGCATGCCAAGTGGTAACCCTGGTAACATGCCTGGTGGTAACCCTGGTAATATACCTGGAGGTCCACAAGGCCCTGGAATGGCATCGGCAGCTTCTGTATCCATGTCACAGACACAATCAATGATGACAGGGAACAGCTCTCACTCAGGCATGGGCAAGGCACCACAGCCTTTCTCTGGGGGTCCTCCTTCATCTCAAATGAGTGGCGGCCCTGCTAGTGTTCATTCAGGACCCATCAGTGGCCCTGGTGCCCCGCCACATGGAGGGACCAGTGGTCGCCCACATAGAGCAGGGTCAGGAGGGCCTGCTCCAGGAGCTTCTATGATGCAGCAACAACAACCGTCTCAGCAACAGTCACATCCAGGTGCAAGACCAACCTCGCCTAGTTTTGCAAATGCGCCATGTTCTATGGGAAATGCCAATGTACAAATACAAGCTAAAGCACCTAATACCATACAGTATCTTCCTGCTCATCCACCATCAACACAGCAAAGTATGCAATCACAGAAACGACCAGATCTTGAGTTCATGCAGCGGTTCGCAGCTCCAATGAGCAATATGGATAATAAAGTTCCCACATCAAAAATGCAATATTTTCCACAACCCCCAGGAATCTCTGGAGAGAGACATTCACATTCACCATTTGGTAACCATGGGGGACCCATGGGTCCAGGGGGAATGCCACAGGGTATGATGCCAATGAGGGGAGGCAGCCGAGGGGAATTTCCTCCAAATATGAGTGGTGGACAAATGGGACCTATGAGTGGAATGGGAAGTCCAGATCCCATGGGAGGCCCCATGAATAATTCTATGGGGCCCATGGGAAATAGTAATGTGTTACCGGGCAATATGCCATCGGAGCCTCAAATGATGCCCGGTGGTATGGGCATGAGTGGTGAAGGCATGATGCCTATGGATGGAATGCCACATTCTATGGGCATGCCACACCCAAATTCCCCGCCATTCATGGAAAGTCGTGAGTCAATGATGAGCAATAGTATGATGCAAGGACCTTCACACATGTCCCAACGTGGCCACGGACCTATGATGGGCATGGGACCTGGCGCTGGGGAGATGATGCCAGGGGGACCAGGATCACGAATGCCAGAAATGGGCAATTATGGACCCAATATGCCAAGACAACCAAATCCAGGTGGCATGAGAATGCCTGGTGGCCCAGGAAATCCAAATATGCCCTCTCATCACGGACTAGGTCCAGGCCCTGGGATGAGTGGGGGCATGGACCCCAGGACAGGGCCATGTAACCCTGCCTATAGTGCACAATATCAACAGTTTCAGCAACAGTTATATTCTCAAGGTCGGCCTCGCCAGATGTCACCGATGGGGGGGATGATGCCTGGGGGGCCGGGCCAACAGTACATGAATATGTGAGGAGCAAGGCTCCTTTGTTACAGGCAAATCTGTTCATCTGAAGCATTGTGATAATTCATCAACATAAAACTCATAAGTGTTTACATTTTATTTTATTGCATCGGAACAAAATTTATTGTTTCATATGTGTGTGTAGTAGAATGGAACGATAGTGATTATTTGTTTTTGTAAGAACTGCCCTTCCCTGTTTCTGTCACAGACTAGAGGCCTAGATAGACATGTTATAGGGCTCACTGTTGGTACTAAGGGGTACTAAAAACATATCACATGTGTGATGGTGAATTCTGATTTTGCAATAACAGACATTTTAACAATTTGTTGAAATCTTTCTGCAGTGTATGATCAAAGTGAAGGCCATTACATAAACAATCAAAGGTTGAAATTACAAACTTATATTGTGAAACACTGCAAGAGATATCTTTGATAATTGATATATAGATTTAGTGAATATATGGCTCTTTCTTCCAAAGAGAATAGACCACTGTTGATAACCTGTTTTTACAGAGATGTGAATTTAGCCATTAAGGGCTTTCTTATTTAAAAGAAATATTTCTTTTTAAAGATCCTCACATTGGTGGTTTAATACCCTCTATAACTTACGTTTTATCATAACAAAACCTTTACTGTAGTAAAATGCTTATGAGATATACATAAAACCAAAGTTTTTTCTTCCTTATATTAAAAGTGCATATGATCCACACACAGGTATTTTATATGTACATGTGGCTTTACATTTTGTTTATAGATTTTGTGTGAATCATATTTTGTTGTCATTATCAATATGCTAGTTTTTTTTTAAGTTTTATTCTTGTAAGTTCTGTGGATGTTTTAAGTCCATCTCTTTAAGGGAAAATGCACAAAGCTTTTATTTCAAATAATTTTTTTCTGAAATAAATTAGAAAACAGAAAAACAGTTAAAACTTCAAGAAAGTAGTTTCTACATGCAAGAGTGCAATAGAGTCTGGAGTGATCAGCTTTATTTTAGTCTTTTTCTTTCATTCTTCAACTGTTTCAAAATGTGCTTTCTGACTCCATGTTATAATCAAAGGGAACGCTCCCACAAAAAGACCTGATAAAGATATTGTTATTTTGAAACTAGGATATATCACATAGTGGAAGGGGAGTAACTCTCTTTGTTAAAGTGAACAGAATCCTACCCACATGTTTGACAATGTCATCTTTCAATACAGTATTACAGATCAAATCACCCAAACCATTGGTATTATGGTTCAATGTGAGATTCATTATAGAGGTTGTAGTTATTTTGGAAATATTAAATGAGTTTTGAGTGGTCTGTAAATTATAATTCCCAACTTTTAGGAATTATCTTCTGTGAGGTTGCAAGTATTTAAATTTTAGCCTCCAAAAAGTAGTTATACATTTATACAAGTGAATACATTCAAACATCAATTTTTAACTATTTTCATGGCAAACTAAATCGAATTTTGACATAAATTTTCCTCCAAAATGGGACCATTGACAAATACAGCAATTAATGATAGCTTGTATCTCTTCTCAGACATGATTTGATCCCAAGATGAATATTTCAATATTGTTTTGGAAATCTATCATTTAAAAGTCATAATTTCATTTTAAAGAGTAAAGGAACCTAACACCCAACCTACCTAGCATGAACTGTGTTGGCTATACTCGGACAATCCTTCTAAATTTCATTCGCTGTACTGAATCTAGTGTGGAGAAATATAATGGATATAGTACAACTTTAAATCTTCTAGATACATGAATTATTGTATAGTAGCTGACTTCAACATTTTAAAAACTTTGCACAATTAACAAAATTGATGTAAGGATATAAGTTGTGCAATATGAGGATGTGTATAAAAGGGTAAAGAATTCAAAATTATTAGAACATTGACACTTATTCTGCTATCCTATCATTTCGTCTTAACATAGATTCTGCTGCTGTAAAAGCAGTAAATATAAAACACAATTCTGATTCACTTATACATAGAATGACATGTTTGATATGACACAAGCTTAAAGATATCAGTATTAATTAATTGATACAATGTAATGTAATTGACACAGTGTGATTATTAGGTAAAATACAGTAAAATCTAATTGACAGTGTGATTATTAGGTAAAATACAGTAAAAAATATTGACAGAATATGATTATTAGGTTAAATACAGTAAAATCTAATAGACACAGTGTGATTATTTGGTGAAATACAGTAATATCTAATTGACAGTGTGATTATTAGGTAAAATACAGTAATATCCAATTGACAGTGTGATTATTTGGTGAAATACAGTAAAAAATATTGCCACAGTGTGATTATTAGGTTAAATACAGTAAAATCTAATTGACACAGTGTGATTATTTGGTGAAATACAGTAAAAAATATTGCCACAGTGTGATTATTAGGTTAAATACAGTAAAATCTAATTGACACAGTGTGATTATTTAGTGAAATACAGTATAATCTAATTGACACAGTGTGATTATTTAGTGAAATACAGTAAAATCTAATTGACACAGTGTGATTATTAGGTAAAATACAGTAATATCTAATTGACACAGTGTGATTATTTGGTAAAATACAGTAATATCTAATTGACACAGTGTGATTATTTAGGTGAAATACAGTATACAGTAATATCTAATTGACACAGTGTGATTATTTGGTAAAATACAGTATAATCTAATTGACACAGTGTGATTATTTAGTGAAATACAGTATAATCTAATTGACACAGTGTGATTATTTGGTGAAATACAGTAATATCTAATTGACACAGTGTGATTATTTGGTGAAATACAGTAAAATCTAATTGACACAGTGTGATTATTTGGTAAAATACAGTAATATCTAATTGACACAGTGTGATTATTAGGTAAAATACAGTAAAATCTAATTGACACTGTGATTATTAGGTAAAATACAGTAATATCTAATTGACACAGTGTGATTATTTGGTAAAATACAGTAATATCTAATTGACACTGTGATTATTAGGTAAAATACAGTAATATCTAATTGACACAGTGTGATTATTAGGTAAAATACAGTAATATCTAATTGACACAGTGTGATTATTAGGTAAAATACAGTAAAATCTAATTGACACAGTGTGATTATTTGGTAAAATACAGTAATATCTAATTGACACAGTGTGATTATTTGGTAAAATACAGTAATATCTAATTGACAGTGTGATTATTAGGTGTGATTGATTATTATTACTGTGTAAAATACAGTAATATCTAATTGACACAGTGTGATTATTAGGTAAAATACAGTAAAATCTTATTGCCACAGTGTGATTATTAGGTAAAATACAGTAATATCTAATTGACACAGTGTGATTATTAGGTAAAATACAGTAATATCTAATTGACAGAATATGATTATTAGGTAAAATACAGTAATATCTAATTGACACAGTGTGATTATTTGGTGAAATACAGTATAATCTAATTGACACAGTGTGATTATTTGGTAAAATACAGTATACACATGTAATTTATTATCCTGTTTACACAATATATTTTTTCCAGAATATTACAGGTTGTAACCTTGTATCACTACAGCAGCTCAGTAATAAAGGAAATAATTTACCACCAGAAACTTCAGAAATTAGAAATTGAATGAAGGTGAAGCTTTTTTAAATCATGAAGACACAAGTGTGTTAGCGTCCAAGAACATTTGCCTGATCCTACCCAAGATATTGTGTCTTGTGTGCCAAATTCCTATCATTCCTACAGATAGTATGCAGAAAGAGAAAGTGCTTCCAAGTGGAAAAGAATTTATCAAACAAAATATTGTATCTACAGATCTGTACATAAGCCAGTTTAAAATTGTGTATTTAGGATTTTGTATTTGAAAATTGAATTTCTGTAGGTTGAACACATTTCATTATTGTTCTGGTTTATAATATAATCACATTTTCATAGTTATGATTCGTTCAAAACTGGAACATTTTTGATGATACATTTATCTTTATGGTTTACACATGAAATCTGAATAGTGCACACTGCAAAAAAGATACTGTTGGCTGATAAGGAAGTGGACCAAGATATTGGGCTACTGTGTTTTATTATTGATTTATTTCTATCCTGTCAACTGTTTTATTGGTGTGCTTAATGACAAGTCAAAAACTAAAAACAAATATTTGAGGAAGGAGGCTTCTAGATGATTGCTGGTTGGAAATAAAATAGGTAGAAAGCTTACCTCATAAATATAGGTCTTTAATGGAGGATATGTTACAATATGAAATTGATAATCAAAGATCACACACCATTCATTTTACCAAATGAATTTTACCACCTTTTCTTTCTCCATTTATTTGATTTTTTAATTTCCCTGAGTGTGTTTGTGGCTTTGTTTCCCCTTCTTTATTTTCAGAAATATTTTCTCAGCTCTGCATATCAAAGACATAAAGAGAGCCTGAAATAGTATTTACTCTTTACTTTCTACCCCTTATATTTTGTCACAATGTTTAAAGGATGTATGGGTAAAAAAACATGACCTTTCAACTTTGAAGATCAAAGCTGCTCAGAGAAAATGTGTGGAGAATAATTGAGATAAAACCAGACTTGATGGTTGGCGTACATGAGCGAATGGCTGTATAAATGTATATATGTGGAAATGAATGACAGAATATATTTTCAAAATGACAAAACTATGTGGCTTAAATATTGAATTTGATTCAATTATCACATGAATGAAAGATATATAAATATATATATATACACTATATAGGAAATATAATGATTACATTTTCTCTTCTTTTTTAAACAAATTCAAGTGTCAGTTTTGATTAAAACAAAAGGTTGTACCATTGAAATGTAATTTTTTTTCTTTAATTGAAAGAAAAACGTGTGTATATTGTATGATATGTTTATAATTATTACGACTTGTAGATATACAGTAGGACTTCTAGACAAGTTCAGTGCATTGCCTCTTTCTGCCAGGATTTAAAAATGAAGCAGTATCAACCATATTCATTTTTCATTTCATTGAATTTGATTCATTTTTAAGTTCCTGGGAGTGAAAGGCCATATTATTCTCAGAAGGCAGATGAAATGGTGAAATTCTATTTTTGATATATTTTATATATTTATGACTGCTGACAGAGGGACGTGAGGTGGGGCAATACTCTGACCAGTATTGTCTATCATCATCTGCTATATAATGTGAAACATCCCTGACTACTTTAAGGCATTTGGAAGTCGGACATCTCTGTTGGTACAAAGATTGCGGTCAGCCTTTTGAAACATGAAATATAAGTTGTATAGATATTTTGACATGCTGTTACTGGGTAACTATGACAATCGTTGTCGTGGTTACTACACAGGGAAGTTTTATGTTATATAGAACCAGGTAATTTTGTATCGGAATTAGCATGTGAAATTCAATGAATTCTGACAACTTTACTACCATTACATCAGTCTGCCAGCTGAGACCCATTGTACTGGTAAAATGTCATTAAAATGCGAAATCATTTCTAACATCAGTGTCGTATTGTCTTTTTGTCATTTTATTGTCATCTTCTGCAGTACCAGTATGTTGCAGAATGTTATATTATATACACAGGGCCATAAGTTAGCTATAACTATACACAGCTGATAGGAAAAGAAATTTAAAGAACTAGGATTGGTGTATCATTTCTTAAAAGGCACTCCCAACTCTACAAAGTTTGACTTTAAAGCCCTAAGTTTTTCTGTCAGCACAGAAAATAATTTGTCGTTAGGTATGCTGACATCAATGTGCCCTCTATGTCCTAAGTGTAGCTCCGTGGTTCAGCATTTGTACAGAATTCCTGGTTATCTAGAAATGTCCTTTGGTGACCAGTAACAGAGGTGTGAAGATGCCCATTACAATTAGGAAAGTGGTCTTATATGTCTTAAATCATGGCTAACAAAGAACGCTTGGAGGTCACTTGTCAACCTGTACTTGGAGGGGGTTAACGGTCTGTAGTTGACGGATACATCATCAAATCAGAGAAACATTTGATCAAGAAGATTAATTAATCAACGAGTTCTAGTGGGCATGAAATTCTCAATATCGAGTATGGCCAACACATCCTTCTGGTACAATTCTTGGTTGTCTCATACCATTGATCAGGCACTGAAGCTTGTTTTGAAGAATCCACTGCCATTCCTGAATCAAAGCAGTTTGTGATTCTCTGATCATTTGGCATTTTGGATCCGTGCATCAACCTGTTGTCTGAAATTGTCCTACATATGTTCAAATGGATTCAAGTCTGGTGACATTGCAGGCCACGGAAGCATCTCTCACTTCTTGTTGAAGATAGTTTTGTACTAGGCAGGATCTTGTGGCTTGGCATTCCATAAGGATGGGTCAATCTGCAAATGGATGGGTATGAAAATGTGAAACAACTAAAGGTCAAAGGATCTGCTCATGGTACCTCTGTCAATTTAAAGTTCCATCAAGGACCTGTAAAAGAGGTAATAACTCGTCCTCAGGTTAGGGGTTACAGCAATGCTTGTGGGGCATGACTAAGCATTATTCCCGAGGTCCCTGCATGGTGAGGAAATGTAATAGAGTTCCACTGGAACTTGAATCTGGGATCTCTGGCTTACTAGTCTGACGCTCAACTGATCAAGCTAAAGAGAGGTTCTCTCTAGCCGAGCGGTGTATTACAGCTAGTAGTTACCAGGGCTACAGACATGCAAGGGAAGATGTTGAGAGGAGAGCATCCCTGAATAATCACCCCACAATCCTGCTGTACCCATATATACCTACCAAAAATGAAACCAACATGCCTCAGCTTTTCATCCAGCTGTATGATTAGCATGCTGATTACAACTTTCCTGTCCTGAATTTCCCATTTATGGATTGAAACGGCCCTGCATCCACATCCTATGGGTTGGCAAGTTGCAGTGTTTTCTTGGTTTTTTTCTCGGTCTCCAAACATAGACCCTACCGTTTATTGCACCAAGTAAAAAAAAGCGATTTTCATCAGACCGATGGACTCTTCGTAAAGACTTCATGTATCTGTATGCCGTTTCCGTTGATCACGTGCTCATTACAATCTTGCTTGTGTGTGCCTTCCAGTCAACAGAGGATGCATTACTGGTCGGCGAGAGCACAGTCGGTAATTGTTCCAACGTCTGTTGACGTTACGCCGGCTAACGCTAACACTGACGTTCTACTGTCCTCCTAGACTGTTGACAACGGTGAATGGGGTTCGCTTTGAATGTCCTCTAAGTCTGTTGACAACGGTGAATGAGGTTCGCTTTGAATGCCCTCTAAGCCTGTTGACAGTGGTGAATGAGGGCTGCTTTGAATGTCCTCTAAGCCTGTTGACAACGGTGAATGAGGTTCGCTTTGAATGCCCTCTAAGCATGTTGACAACGGTGAATGAGGTTCGCTTTGAATGTCCTCTAAGCCTGTTGACAGTGGTGAATGAGGGCTGCTTTGAATGTCCTCTAAGCCTGTTGACAACGGTGAATGAGGTTCACTTTGAATGCCCTCTAAGCCTGTTGACAACGGTGAATGAGGTTCGCTTTGAATGTCCTCTAAGCCTGTTGACAGTGGTGAATGAGGGCTGCTTTGAATGTCCTCTAAGTCTGTTGACAGTGGTGAATGAGGGCTGCTTTG